AATAGATTCATTCATCTGTTTTTCCCTTTCCCCTTCTCATCTTTAATAGCTATAGGAAATAAATACAAGAGCTGTTTTTTAAAGGTCACTGTTCCCCTGCTTGCAAATTGCAAGCATAGCAACATTGAATTCTTTGGTTTGTTTCCAGGAAAAAAAAAGTTGTCAGAAATAAATCATATATCCAAAATTGTGGCATTATAAGATAGAACCATTCACTAAGATTTGGGTGGGAGCAAATGGAGATTGAGAGATTTTTTTTAAAAGCAAGGATAGGAAGGAGTTAATAAGGAGTTGGATAACTTGTGTAGAAGTTGAGCTAATAAAAATATTGCTTTGTCTACTGTGTTTTGCCTGTTTAAAATCATCTGGGCACACAAAATCTGACTGTTGAGTGAAGGGAAAATTAAATTGCTCACATTATATGTCACTAAAAAGACTTCCTAATGGCTCAAAATCAACTCTGCGCCTGCTACTTCCCTGGTCTCTCTTTCCTACACTTGTTCACAAGCAGCACCAAGCCTTAATATGATTTATTTGACTTTCCCTTAGTTATGTGAACATGCTATGTTTATAAACCATGGTTTATAATGTAGCTTGATAAAAGAACTCTGTGTGGTTGCATTAATAAAAGAGTTGCCTTAACGATAAGATAGGGCAGCACATAAATTTAATAAATAAATAAAACATGATTAACTTTATTAGAGGATGTGAATTCGATCATTAGCTTCAAGAAGGCTAACTAGCAGCAGAAATAAGATTTGTTTCTAAGCTCTAACAAAGGACTCTAAGCAATGTTCACAGTTTTCATTGCCTGCATAAACTCTGGGAAGCCTTGTGCTTTTAATCCTCATAATTAAGCTTGTTCAGAAACTTTTATTATAAAAGGTTAAGAACTTAAGCTGCTAGCTTTTCACACACTGCTGGTGATTTTGTTTTGCCTTGTCCCCACCTTCAAATCATGATAAATTTGCAAAGGTTTATGCAGGAACTGCTTTGCACATGGAAAAACTCTAGAAGAAGCCCAGTATTTTTCCAAAAGCTGCAGAAGGAGAAAACATCAGATTAGATGGGATTGGATTTTGCCTACCGATACACAATAGCATTAGCATTAGATATTTATCAAAAGGTTCAGAAAAGTCCATAGACAACGAATCACATTATAGTATTGGCAGAAGCAGAGAAACCCAACCTCAATGAGGCAATGAGGTCCAAGGAGATTTTAATGGAGATTTTCAAGGTAATTTTTAAAAACAGACTATTTTGCTAATATTTGTTTTGGGGGTTGATTTTAATGATTTTTATGTCAATGTAGTAGTATTATCAGGACTAGTGAGTTATTCTCACCACAACCAAGTACACACTTTCTCTTTAGCACCCTTGTCAACTGCATTAGTCTTTACAAATATAATTATCACACCAATAGAAATAATGAGCTGCCCAAAGATATAAAACCTATCTCTACAACCTCCTTTCTCCATCAATGGAATGAAATTTCATGACTATGCTGATGTAGCTATACTTGAAGCAGCTGGAAAAATATATGTGGTTACTTATCTTTTTAAATAGTTCTATCAGCAAAACTTGGAAGGGTAACAAATCCTCAACCTGTCCCAAGTTAAAGCGTAGGCAAAGTGACAACTTTAAGATATCTTTTGCTCCCTTTCCTCAACTGGCAGGTTCCCACCCATCTAATAAAGGGATGTCAGCTCAAATTATTAAGTGATCTTTCTTTGCTTTCCTTCTCTCACCGCACCCCACCCACCTTATGTCAGCTGCAGAATTCTTTGTCAAACTGGTAAGTGCCCCATTTGTCTTTAATTATAGCTAGCTGTACATCCAAGGCACTAAAGAGCTGGACAGCTTGTGTGCACATATGAGGATCCATTCACTAAGTGATGCAGTCAGGAAAGTTATCCCACTCACAATTTGGGCATCATAGGGTCTTAGCTAATTGGCCCTCTTTTAGCTTCAGATTGAGCCCTGTTGACTTCGGAGGGCTCCTGTATTGTTTCATATTGGGGAGAGGTGCATTCATCTTAAAATGTATTTTAAAATGGAGTCAATACATTGTAAGATACTGTTATATCTTTTTCTGCTGTTTTTTTTTCAAAACTAATTTGAGATTTAAATTGATGTTTAAATTCAGTGGTTATGAAAATAGAACCGTATTGACAGTCTGGCTTTTTACTGTTATATATGTTTAATCCAAAGACTCAGTATGCATTTTTCCCCCTAGCTCCTACCACATTTATCCTTATGATGCAAAAAGGCTGATGGAAGTGTTAAGCTATGGATAAAGTCAATACATAGGAAGGAAATGAAACTGATCTGGCTGCCTTAACTCTATCTCTACGTTTCCCTGACTTATGTTTAGGACTCCATGCTGAATATGCAAAAGCAAGCAGTGAAAGTTAGATATACAGATATCTATAGATATACAGATAAACACACATAGAAAACTCACTGGATTGTATAGATACTTTGAAAAATTGTAACACTTTGAAAAATTGTGTGTGTACATGTGATATGTGTATTAGTTTTATACAGTTATTATTAAAAAGAATAAAACAAGTTCTGATTTCCTGGACAGCCACCCAATTGCATATATCTTGTCCTTTAAATTTCTTATAATCATACTAACTATTAGATCAAATTCCAAGGGAACCTTTAAAAAAGGAAAAGAATAGGGACCAAATTAACTGACAAGAAAGTAATAGGTCAAAATAAGGAATATGTTACTATGCTGTTCATTTTTTCTATAACCATAGAAGACTAGCAACATTTATCCCCATCATAAAGAAATTAAATTAGAAAAATCATTAAATGCAATGAAATAAATGAATTGAGAAGATGAGTTTTTCTGAAAATCCTAGACTTACTTGGAAATATAAACACCTCTACTATGAAATCTCTTCCTTTGGTCCATTCTGTTTCAACAGTATTTGGAGGCAATATTTTCCTAGCCATATTTGAATTACTAGGTTCAGTAAAGTATGACAGATTTCATCTCATTAAACTTGGAGGCAAAATAAATTTAAAGATCAGTTCACCAAATTAATATTCTATCAAATGCACCACCCCAAACAGAAAGCTCAAATAATTGTAATTCTCCCTGAGAGGTGTTTTTGTTTCCTTTTATTTTAAAAAAAGCACCGTTTCTCCTTTTCATTGATTTCTTTTTCCCTTCAAATAAAAGACACTTATCAAAGGTTATGTTTTTTATATTCTGTTAGATTTTTCGTACAACTTTTTTTCAGAATTACAGAAACTTTGGATTTCAAAATATCTATAGGATAATGTAAACTTATCATTGACATTGTAAACACTGATTCAGTCTTTAAATTAAGCGGAATGATTGGTAGAGGTTGATGGGCTCTAGCTCAGGGTCCCTTATGGCTGATGGAGCCTAAGTTTAGCAATCTAAGTTTCTTATTTTTGCTACAGAGTTATTTTTGGTGTATGAGAAATTCCAGTTTATGCTGAACTGAAGGGGAAAAAGATTTTATCTGAGATGAGCTAAATGTATATAGTAGTATTGTACTGTGAATGACAATTTTATGGACAGTTGGTGGCATCAGGAACAAAATCAGATTATAACTGTGGACCCGAGAAGTCAAGTATGGTTTAAAAAGAATTTTTTTTTACTTAAAACAAAAAGGGCATGTGGCCAGATCAATTAGCCATTTAATTTGCCATATATAAGAAAATACTTTTTAATGCAATTAAAGAAAAATGCTGACCTTTTCAAGTTTATTTATTCAGCTGTAGGCTTAAATGTTCAAAACTGAACAATATGATCACATGGCTCTCTTAACTATGTACTCAGTCAGTCCGTGGAAATCCAGGAGAGGAATTTCCTGGTCCTAGGGCAGCTCTGTCCCCTGGGATGGGTATGCTGCCAGAGCTCCATAAAAAATATCAGGTTATGCCTACTAAAAAAGGAATATTTCTTTCTTATAACTATTGATTCTACCCTCCCTTTCTAGACAAGATGGTAGATATTCCTCAAATAATAGATCACAGTATTCCATAACAATATCTGCTTCTGCGTATATACTACGCAAAAAATTTCGTGGGCTGGAAAAAAGTTAGGTTTTTGCCCAAAATGACCTTTATAATGGAAACACCTATCCAATCAGGCTTAGGAGATGTGGTGGGAGAAATATTGTTCTATTAAGTAGAGCTTTCATGACATTTTCAATCAAGAGCTACTTACGGCTGCCTTGATACTAGAAAACCATTTCACTAACATAGATACATAGAGAGGCAGCCACACTTTTCTATATTTTAAAAACACAATTGCTACTGATTACCATTGAAAAGCAATGTAAGGTAGGCAGTGGAGAAGCAGACAAACAGGATAATTTTGGGATCTATCCCAAATCATTCTGATTTCCATCTAACTTTTGTATACCAGAAGCCTGATTTGCCTTTTAAGTTCACAGAACAAGAACTGAAATACATTATTTTACATCCTCAGCACATGATGCATACCTAGAGAGCTGTCATTTAAGTATTTCCTAAAAATGAGAAACTAAAGCCCCACCCCCCTCACCCCGGTCACCCAGTGAATTTTTACAAACTGCAGAATTGATGCTTCTGAGTTGGCCGAAGTTCCTAAGACTAAGCATAGGCAATGCATTTAATTAAGTTTCTTATCAATTCATCTCTGCTCAGAAGAGGTTCTATGGCATTTCATTGTGTTTATTCATAGTTACACTGGTATAGGATTAATGTACTATTGAAGAATACTTACTGATTTTAAAGCAGCACATATTAAATTCAGTAGTTGTACATAACCCACTGTCAGAAAAATAAAATACACACATACTCTAACAACAGTTTCAAACAATACATTCTTCTCATACTAACATAGTTCAGTCTTAAATATTCCAAAACTGATTTTTCTGTTTTTAGCCTCATAGCAGATTCATGTCTTATCAACTACCCATTTCTCTGTCTCTCCTCATCTCCTAAAATAAAAAGATTTCTTCACTCACCTCACTCATAATGATGAGTTTGAAATGAGAGTTCGCAGATCCTCACTTCCTCAAGACAGAGCTGCTGGACTACAAGCTCTCTATACTGTTTCTAGCTTTTCTCTTTAAAAGGGTTGCTCGGAAGCATCATGCTTTCAATAAACCAATAAGGAGCTGTTACCTGCTGAAGCCCCTGGCATGTATCAGAGAGTGCAAAGGGCCACCTTGTGGAAAGAATAAAAAATGCATCCTTCAAAACCCTGGGAAAAGAAAAAAAAAAATCCAGCAGAGAACGCAGATGTCAGAACTGAGAAGGTGGACGATGAAGTCTCTTGTTGTTCACTGACAGAAATCATATCCATGAGAATCATAAAAGGAAAATGTTACCCAGTTCATTAGAACTCATACCAAACTACACCCCAAAATTTGCATCCCATGTTTTTCCCCAAGAGAAATTCCTGTGCCTTGAACATGTGCAAACTGCAGCTGGTGATACATCCCTTCGTTTCATATAAAGAAAACATGAACACGAACATTTTTGGGGGGAAAGTTTTATTTGGGTTTTAACAAAAACAAAATACAAATAAAACATCTTTTTTGAAAATAGCACGGTCCCAGGTTATCACTTCTTCATACAGACACCAAACTCAATTTCATGCTCATTTTTATATTCTATTCCATATCTTATTACCGTTTTATATTTTCTACATAGTTTTCCCCCTCTTTTAATTTTCTCAACTTTATTTTAATTATGTCATCTCAATCAAATCATTATATTTATACTTTGGTCTGTCCTGTTTCAATTTCATATTATCTTTTCTTATTAAACAAATTTTTCCCTGTGGTTACCAATTGGAGTATGACACCTTTATATCTTTTAATTTTATCCATTCAAACTCTTATTTAAGCTTCAGTGTATACCTTTAAGATTATAGCATTCAATATAATACATAACTTCCAATTGAATTCTGCTTGGTACATTCTTAAAATACACACTATATTCTTAAAAAGAAAAAATTACATATATATATGTTGTGGCTCCAGGCTTGGATTCAGCTCCTGTGATTGATATGAGTTCAAGTGAGGAGGTCATGGCAGAAAAATATGAGCCGGCCTGGCTTACTGATTAGACTAATAACCAGGATGAGGAGATGGACGTGACAAAGGACGACAGACCTGATGTATTAGAATTGTCAGGACCTTTGACCTCCTCTGGTTCCTTATCTGATCAACAGCCGGGAATGGCTGACAGGGAAGTTTTGAGAGAGTCTTCTAGTGGAGATGAGAACTTGGAAAATTTGTGGTTAAATGTAAAAAATAGAAGACGGTTGAGAAGGCAAAATCAGCTGGAGCGAATGAGAAGAGCGAGTCAGTAAATTAGCACGTTGCCTCAATGAGTATAAAAGGACACAGCTAGGCTGGTACATTTTGCCAGGAACAAAGTGACTATTTGAGTGAGGACGTTACAGCAAGGAGCTCTGAGACTGGAGATTTATTGCCAGGACTGGTTTGCCGGACAGAGTAAAGATTTATGCTGTGGTTTCTGCCAGCCGTTATCTTGTAAGACTTCTTTCCGTTTGATTTAATTGTGAAACGGCTGCTTTCTGTTTTGTTTGTTTGAATTTTGAAGGGGAGTCATAACATATATATATATATATATATATATATATATATATATATATATATATGTAAATAAAGCACACATTCCATTCCAATTCAATTCTATCATTAATATTCATTAAAATCTTAACATCTTTAACATTTCTTTTCAATTAAATATCATACTTCCTTGGGAACACTTATAAACTTTCCATAGTTAATCCTTTTTTTTTCATATTTCTCACTTATATTTTTATAAATCATTACTAATAATTAAAAATGTTCCCATTTAATTCTCTCAATCATTTTAATTCATTTATTTATTACCAAACATTCAACTACATTACAGTAAATATTTTATCCATCATTTTAATCATATTTTCTAAAATTATTTCTGTTTATAATATAACAATGCTATCTTATGTACCTTTGCAGAATCCCTTTTGCAATTCAATTTTCACCCATTATCTCTAAACAAGTTTATGGTTACAATCCTCATATCTTTTCCCTGTTTCTCCATTTCTTGTTTCTCTCTTTTACAACTTCTTTTCCTTGCCTTCTTGCCCCTCTTCTTCTCCCTCCCCTTTTTACCCCCTCGTCTCTCTACTTCTAACTCTCTCATCTGTAATCCCCTCTTCTGTTGCTTTCTAATATTATACTTATCTTTCAAATTCTTCTTCTTCTTTTTGGTTGTTTTTTCTAGTCTTAAACCTTTCACTCTTTCCCCCCTTTTCTCCCCCCCACACTTAAAATTATTTGATCATTAAAGATGGCTTCTTCTTTGTCCCAATCTTCTTGTTCTGCAAGCGTTTCTTGTTTCTCATTGTTCCAGATCTCCATTTCTTCTTTTTTTTTAAAACAAATTTTATTAATTTTACAAAACAATATACAGACAAACAAAACATAGGTTATAATAACATAAGAGATCTTTTTCTGAAAAAACCAATAAGACATCTTATTTAAAGACAGAATAATTCCAAATTATCACATTTCCATATGAACACAATTTAATATATATATTTACCTTATCTGTTCAACTTCATATCTTATCCCAACTTCTCTTTATTACTCCTTTTCCTTCTATTTATTCAAATTATATTTCTTTTACTTTAGATTGTATACATTTTTTATATCCATCTGTCTTATTTACAATTTCATTGTTCTCTTCCAACATTCTTCTTACATTCTTCTAAAATTTTATTAATTCAAACGTAGACGTACAAAACACAAAACATAAATACCTAAAACTTCTTTTGGAAAGCGGCTTACCCCGGGTTACCTCTTTTTATACAGACATAAATCAAATTCATACTCACTTAATATACTGTTTCATATCTTAATTAACATTCTGTATTTTCTATATATTTTCTCTCCTCTATTCACTCTCATAATTCTATTATATTTATTTCATCTCATTTTAAATAATTATACTTGTATCTTTTGTCTGTTTTCTTCAATTATCTATTTATCTTTTCTTTCTAATACAATATTTCTCCTGTAATCACTGGTTGAAGTATGACAACTTTTTATCTTTCCCCTAAATTTGACACTTGAAATAATTCCATACTGATTCTGCTTAGCACAAAGTACTACATTTTGAAATAGTGAAACAACAATAAAAAAGGGATTGAATTTATAGTATAATCAAAACAATATTCCATAGAGAAATAAACTCTTACTTTTAAACATTTTGTATATTCCCTTTAATACATTATTAACTCATAATATTTCAATTTTCTAACTCAATTTCAAGTACTAATATCTACAATACAATCTTATATACTTTTGCAGAATCATATATTAAATTATAATTTACCCTTTGTCTCTGAAAAAAACCTTTTTTTTAATATCTTGTTTTAAACCTTTATGGCTTCTCTTCCCTTTTTCCCTCCCTTTCTTATCAATTCTAGTCTTTTTACCCCCCCATTTCTCAAATTCCACTTTTTTGATTTTCCCTCTCTGTAGTGTTTCTCTTTTCTGTTGCTTTCTGGTCTTGTATCGATTTTTCATCTTATTTTCCCCTTTCTTGGTTGCTTTTTTAGGTTCTGAATTCTGCATTTTCTTTCCCCCCTTATTCTTTTCAGCTATGATTTTTTGTCCATTAAATACTTCCTCTTGAATGTATTGTCCATTAAAGATGGCTTCTCCTTCTTCATCCCAATCCTCTTGTTCTTGTATTTCTTGGTAAGTAGAAATCGCCATTTCCAAAAAACAAAAGATAGATCCAAGAGAGTCCTTGCCTTCTTGTTTATCTTGTTGTAGCTTTCGAAATTCCATTTGTAATTCTTGCAAAGATAATGCCATTTTTTTATTATTATTATTATTATTGTTGTTGTTGTTGTTGTTTTTTAAAAGAGCAACCCAAATGTTTCTGGTCTTTCAAGAAATAGTTCCCCAAAAGTCACAAAGCAATCCAAAACAAAGCAGACTGTTCCATTAACACTTTCTTCTTCTTCTTCTTTTTTTTCCCCCTTCCTCCTGGGGTGAAATTCAATTAGACTGTTTCAAAATAATTTTTTAGAAGCCTTATTGTCATTAATTTCTAATCTTATAAACTTCAAGCAGTCTTCTTCAATAAAGTCTTAAGATTTTTTTTTTACCTCTTCCTTCCCACTTATAGCAATAAACTTTTAATTTTTAATTCCAATGTTCCAAAATCTTTTATCCCCTTGGCTTTAATTTTTAGGTTTATTTACCTTCTTAGCCCAAGCAGGTTTTCCAGATTTCCATCAGCTACTTCTGTAGGGAAGGAGAGTGAAAAGAAATAACTTTCCCTTTCACTTTCTTCAGCTGCTTACACAGTCTTTCTGGGAACAATGTAGCAATAGAAAGGCAAATTCCAGGTTTTAAGGGCTCCTCTTTGTCCTGGCTCAGCCAAAGAAAAAACTTTCACTTTTTTCCTCCTGCACTTTCTTATCCAGCTGCGGACTTCTTTGTGGCGGCCATTGCTGACCGCCGCTCCACCGCCTTGGGAAAAGGGGGTTTTGCCGGCTGGGGAGGGGGTCTGCAACACCCCCAAAAACCTGTCCAGATCCCCCGGTCTTCAGCTGCCTCTACGGGGCAGCTATATCCCCCAAATCCACTCAGATCAGGGGCACCTCAGCAGCGAGCGCAGCAGGGATCGCGCAGAAAGGCAAATCCCTGCTGCTGCCGAAGCCTTGCAAACCCCAGATCTCCATTTCTAAGAATTGAAATACGAAGCCAAAAGAACCTCTCCCTTCTTGTGCATCTTCTTTCAATTTTTTAAGTTCCATTTTCAGTTCTTCTAAGAGTGATACCATTTTAAAGACTTTTAAACAACCACCCGGTTAATTTTAGTCATCCAGATGCAAAAAACAAAAATCACCAAGTAATCCAAATAATCCAAGGCTGTTTCTTTCTGCTTCTTTTTTTCCACTTTCTCTTCCTGGGGTTCTATTATTTTGTTACCAAGTTTCAATTAAGATGTATCTTTGAGGAATCTTGTTGAAATTTCACTGTAAGTTCCTTTTAGTTACAGTTCCATTCCTTAGTTCC